GGGGACTCCCAAGTATGACTGAAATAATTTATTTTAAAATTGATATTAATATATAAGAAGCCATTCAATACAATAACATAAGTTCCAAGTTTTGAAAATTTTAATTGTGAGATTTTCACACAGAGATCATTGGGGTTTGGGGGACTACAAGAAACAGATGGCAAGTGGGCGTTATGTATAGGATCGCTCAAAATAATTATATATGTTTAGGTTTTCAAAATTTTTATATCAGGTCAATTCCAATAGGGTATCAAGGGTTTTTTTTTTGGGGGGGGGGGTAGCTCTCGGGACTGGTTGTATGGATTTGTATGAAACTTGGCAAAGATATGTTCATCCAAATCACGATGCACAAAATGTTTTGCATAGTTGTTGTTTCAATTTTAGTGGGTAATTCACTAGTATATGATTTACATAACTTTATGGGATAATCCACGTATTATTGAAATAGAGGAAAGTATAATTAACCACAGGGCATCATGAAAGACGCCTGAAATTTAACTACACTTTAACTTTGATTTAATGTACACGTGGGAAATACTTAGCTTACAAATTCATGTAAAACTAGAAAAATAAGAGTGTCACAACAAATCATTTATCGTCAAATAATAATGATAATAAATGTTATACGTTTGACACGACACATTCCGAAACTGTAGTCAAAGAAAACGAAACTTTAGTTTCTAATTAAATATATAATTTGTAATAATAATACTGACAGTCTGGTTACACCATTGTTATTATTATTTACTTTATAAACTACAAGGTTTCGTATCAAGTCACTATATTCATAAGCCTGAGAAAAACGTTTTGATTATGTAAAAGCATTAAACGAATGACTAGGAATAAGAATACATCTAACTGAAAATTGTTGATGTCATTCATATCATAATAATAGCTCATAAAATATGAAGTGTCTTACTGTAATAACTGTTGCGAAGGGTATACCAACCCAATTGTTTAAACTGTTGTGAAGGTTATACCAACCCCATTATTTAAATACAACTGAAATTTGAAAAAAATAAAAATAAGAAATAGAATAGGAATTTTCAACCTGAACCGCACGTTATACACACGTGCATTAAACGGCCACACCAGAGAGCCTTAGAATTAAGTTATGGCTGTCCCTAATTATGAACTACTGACCAAGATGAAAGGTAGCAGCCACGCAAACTACTAGTCCATGAAATTGTAGAATGAAAAAATAACGATAACCTTGATGATGGCAATGACAATAATTTCATAGTAAACACGTAAATATTGATATCAATGGTTAATAATTATAAAGATGTTATTACGGAACTTGAACTTCACGTAGAGTTTTAATGAACTAATCTATTAATTGTTTAATATGAAATGTGTTTTTTCTACTTATATTTTCACCGGTGTCATAACTTTATTGGAAAATTATGGGTTTGAAATAATTATTGTTTGAACTATGTGGGTCTGTGGTACTGCAGGTTCTACGGGTAATTCCATATACGGTTCAGTTTGTATTGTCTGGTATGCCAAATGTTACCAATTTACTTCAGGGCGTTCCATTAGGTTTGGCATACCAGACAATACAAACTGAACCGTATATGGAATTACCCGTAGAACCTGCAGTACCACAGACCCACATAGTTCAAACTGAACCGTATATGGAATTACCCGTAGAACCTGCAGTACCACAGACCCACATAGTTCAAACTGAACCGTATATGGAATTACCCGTAGAACC